AAAAAAAAAAAAAAAAAAAAAAAAAAAAAAAAAAAAAAAAAAAAAAAAAAAAAGGAACTGCGAATCGGCGCGGAGAACGAAGAGAAACGTGGAAGTCAAAGGGAGAAGAGAAGTGGGGCCCACAGAGACGAAAAACGAGCGGTGACGAGGCGCTGCCGACTCATAAAGACATGGTAATTGTGTTGACGTGTCACCTTTTATATTCCCGATTTCGTATCGCCACGCCGCCCCCTTCACCTAACCCAATTCCCCCACGTTTACCCTTTCAGCGGTTTCCCGGTTTCACTGCTCTTTTAATTTTATAATATTTTATTTTTTATATTTTAAATTTTGATCATTTAGTTAGAAAAAATTAACCAAATCAATTAATTTAATATATTATTTAAGTTAAATTATAAAAATATCCTTAAATTTTAAAAATTCTATAAAATTATTATTTTTTTTAAATGTCATTTGATTTTTCAAAATGTTTCAAAATTATCTTGAATTTTCAAAAATTTCATTAATGTTTTTAAATTTTCTTAAAAACTTAAATTAATTATTACTTTTAATTTTTTTAATCTTTTTTTAAATACTTATGGTTACATTTTTTTAATTTAAGAATATTAATGAAATTTTAAAAACTTAAAAGAATATTTATTAGAAAAAAATACAAAATTTTTAGATATATATATATATATATATATTTTTTTTTACTTAATTTAATCTATTATTTATTAAAAAAAAAACACTGTGGAGTGAAGTCCATCCATTGAATGGATTTAATCCGCAGAAGCGACCAAATTCATTTCCCCGAAATATATAATTATTAAAAAGAAATAAATGATTTTTTTTCCTTTTTTTTTTAACTGAGCAAATAAAGGATCCTTTATCTTTATGATCCCTACATATTTCTTTAATATTTTTCATCGTCATCTCCTATCTGCCACCATTTTAATTTAATTCTTAATAATAATATCATTTTTAAGCCATTATTATTATTATTATTATTATTATTATTATTATTATTATTATTATTATTATAATACAACCTCAAATGTCGCCTTGTCACAATACAACTCGTCCAATTTTTTATACGTATTATTTTAATTACATTTTGATTCAATTATTCCAATCCTTTTTTTAAAAAAATTCTTCTTTATGACGTAGACGATTTTTATATATAAATAACGTAAAACTATATTGTAATGGCATTATATTATATATATTATTGAATTTATTAAAAAATTATTCAGAATTAATATTTTTTTAAAAAATATATTAATTTGTTTTTTTATAAAATAAATGGAAAGGATTGAAATTGAGTGAGAGAATTATTTAAAAGAAAAAAAAGAAAGAAAAATGAGGCGCGTGGATGAGGACAAACGAACTTTCCCCGGTTTGGGAAAACCGAACCGGGTTTGAGGGGATTAAACGTGCAGCCTGTTCTCCTCTAAATGCGCGTTACATCCACTCGTTTTGAGCATCTCTGTAGAGCTGTGAGCGCATTTGTATGTCTCTTTCTCAATCTAACCCTTTGCCTCATCCCTCTCTTCCTTCTCCGCCGGCGCCTCCATCTCCCTTAAATTCTCCGCCTTCTCTTCCCCAAATCGCCGCATGAAATTTGATCCAACTCTCAGGTTTGTTCTTCTACTTACTTCTCCTATCCTTCCTCTGTTTCTCTTCTTCAATCATTCATTGATTCTTGTTTCTTTTCTTTACTTTCTTTCAACTTGTATCTTTCTGCTCTGTGCTTGTTTGTTTCCCCTGTTTCGTGTTGCTGTGGAAGCAGGGAACGTGTTGGGGTTTTTGCGTATGAGAAATTTCTCGTCTGTTTTTGTTGTTTTTTGTTTTTGAATTTTCTGGATTCATTCACCCTGCAAGTGCAAGCGATTTGGTTTCTGATTTTGGTTTTGTTTTTGTTTTTTTCCCCTCTCTCTCTGGTCATTTCTGTTTGTTTCTATGAATTTGACATGCACAGGATTGGTTTTGGTTGAGTTATGCGGAGAATTTGTGAATTATGTGTTATGAAGCTTGAGATGCATTTCAATTCACTGGGGAATGTTTTCTCTATTGAATTAAGCTAAATTTTATTAGAAATGTCAACAAATCTACTCTCTTGGTCTCACTCTTTAACATATCATCGACTCGAGCAAGTTCATTTTTAGATTGAAGACTGATGGAACAAGTGGGGTTTTATTTAGTTTTCTCTGTTACAATTTGGAAGACAATTCAGCCCAAATTCTCCCCCTTCTATAAAAGAAAAGAACAATAAAAATAAAGAACCGTATTCAAGTTCAAAATTTAGTATTAGATGTTCTGGTTGTGGCTTACAGCTGAAAAAGGTTATTTCTCTCATCCATCTGCACTCTTACAGCAATCAAACAGTTGAAATATTAATTATGTCATGCTGGCTCGCTGTTTGTTTCATTATTTTTCTTGAATTTCTCACGTCACCTCCTAGGATCCTTCTGCGTGCTATTGTTAAATTCATCTTTGGTGTGTAGATTTAATGTTGTCTTTCTGTTTACTGTAATCAACTTGTTCTATTAGAAAAATTTGCATATGAACAATTGGATGCCTTTTCATCGAGTTAATAGCAATATGTGGAGCTGTGGAGTCTTACTGTGTGCTCAAGTTTGTGCATCTAACAGTTGCTTTGTGTTTTAACCATTACCTCAATCGGTCTTTTCAGGGCTATTATCCTACCTAACAAAATATTCGTGTGATAGGGCTTGTTCCTAGTCAGAAATAAAGTGAAATCACCTTTTCTATTCTTTTCTGTGACTAAGAAGTCACAAAGATGTTCGCTTCTTAAAATATCCCATATATGTGGGCAAACATACTTAGACCTCTCCATGCTATTTCTTCTTCAGTTAAGTTTAGTTGATTGATGTATGACAGCACTTTACCATCTTACTTCTTGTTTATTTTATTATCTCTTCTAGAACAGATCAGCACTGGTTCTTTAGTGAACTATAGTTTTTAATCAATGGAATTGTTGGTGCAGGTTGATTGATAACCAATATGCCTCTTTAGAGGCTTTAAGTTTCCTTGGATTCATCAATATTTGGTGCATGTGATACCCTGAAGGTCTATTGAATTGTAAAAGATGGATAGGTGTGACACTTCGGGATTTGTTAGTGGGGGTGGTATCTTCTTTTTCAGAAACAATTCATCCTAGTTCCTTGGCTTCTTTTTATTTTTCCTCAACATATTAGAAAACAAAATAGAAGTAGTTTCATAGCTTTTCATTTTTAAATCCTGGAAGTCAGGGAGGCTGGTCTAATTCAATTCGGTCTTGGTAACAATATTTTAACTATAATTTAATGGGCTCGAGCATTCAGAACTTGAATTTTGCTGCCAATTATTCTTTGAATGTACTAAAGATTTTGGGGAAGTCTTTCCAAGATGGAAAAACTGCAGCTGGAGACAGTGCAGATACCATTCTGCGACTTGATTCTACTGGTACTGGATCTTCGGTCCCCTGTAGGTCCATATCGAAGGGAATGAAACGGAAGTGGAGTTTGGTTGAGAAATCCGTGGGTGGTCGGTCAGTTGGGTCTTCTTTGTCTCTTGGGTTTGTTCATTCCTCAAGTTCTTCTGATAGTAAGGGGAGTTCTGCAACTGAATGCACCAGAGTGTCCTCTGCTAAAGACACTGATGAGGAATCCTCAATGATACTTGATCTGGATTTTTCTCTCAATCTTGGTAATGATAAGGTAGCTAGCCCTAAAGAACCTGCCAATAAGTCGCTTAAAGTACATAAATTTAAACCGAAGGATGACTTGGAGTTAAGTCTCTCAACTGGGCTATGTGAATCTGATGTCACTTCAATTTATCAGGGTATTCCTTCACTTCAGTTGTCAATGGAGAAGCCATTGACATTTGTTGAAACCTTAAACACAGATGATGGAGAAACATCATGTGGTTGGAAGCCAGGAACCGTCCAGCCAGTCATTTCTACCTCGTTGAATCCTCATGTTGGCTACATTTTTCACCCAGTTACTGAGAAAGTGATGCCACCTGCAAATGTTCCAGACCTTTCCTCAAGCGTTTTAACCGTACCCAAAAGCTCAGTCACCTGTACTTCCGGGATAACACAACAGCTTCAAGAACGATTTAGTCGTAGTAGTAATTCCAAGATATGTCAAGTTGATGGATGTGGCAAGGGAGCCAGAGGTGCATCTGGCCGTTGCATATCACATGGTGGCGGTCGGAGGTGTCAGAAACCTGACTGTCACAAGGGAGCTGAGGGTCGCACTGTATACTGCAAGGCCCATGGAGGTGGACGGCGATGTCAACATTTGGGTTGTACCAAGAGTGCAGAAGGACGCACAGACTATTGTATTGCCCATGGTGGGGGTCGAAGATGCAACAGTGAAGGATGCACTCGAGCGGCAAGAGGGAAATCAGGATTATGTATTCGTCATGGTGGTGGCAAGAGATGTCAAAAGGAGAACTGTACCAAGAGTGCAGAAGGCCTCTCCGGTCTTTGCATCTCTCATGGTGGTGGTAGGCGATGCCAAACGCCTGGGTGCACTAAAGGTGCACAAGGGAGCACCATGTACTGCAAGGCTCATGGTGGGGGGAAAAGGTGTACGTCTCCTGGTTGTACCAAAGGTGCTGAAGGTAGCACCCCATTTTGCAAGGCCCATGGTGGTGGTAAAAGGTGTGGATTCCAAGGAGGTGGTATTTGTACAAAGAGCGTCCATGGGGGTACCAACTTCTGTGTGGCACATGGTGGGGGCAAGAGATGTGCTGTTCCTGAGTGCACAAAAAGTGCTCGGGGAAGGACAGACTATTGCGTGCGTCACGGTGGGGGAAAAAGATGCAAGTTTGAAGGGTGTGGCAAGAGTGCACAAGGAAGCACAGATTTTTGCAAGGCACATGGTGGAGGAAAGAGATGTTCTTGGGGTCATCCTGGGTCCGAGTATGGCACCCGACCGTGTTGCCCATGCAATTCATTCGCAAGGGGGAAGATGGGTCTCTGTGCTCTTCATAGTGGCCTGGTGCAAGACAAGAGGGTTCATGGGGGAGTCTCACTTGGATCTATTATTCAGGAGCCTAATCTCAGCCAGAAGGAGAAGATGAAAGGAGTAGTCAGGGAAGATTACATGAATGAAGATCTCATCAAGGTAGGAGGCAAAGTCGGTCCAAATCTTGCACATGTTGCAGGCAGTGAAGCAGGAGAACCGTCGATCATTCCCGAAGGTAGGGTGCACGGTGGAAGTTTGCTGGCAATGCTTGCTTGCAGCTCAGGGTTAGGCTCAAGTAGTAGAAATGTAATTTCTGGTCCCGAGCACTCGATGGAACCTCCCTCCATGCCTCGTAGTTGGGTGTGAAGCAATCTCAGCCTTCCTTTTACGTCCATCTGGTGTTACGAGAATGGTCGGTCGGTAATGTTGGTCTCTCTCTCTCTCTCTCTCTGTTTAGTATCTGTCCATTATAAAGCTTGTTATTTATTGGTCCAAATGGAAAGACTCCTTAAGAGTGCTCTATATTGAGGGGGCAAATTCTAAGTATTGGGTTGTTGGTTTGTTGGCTTGTTCTTTCTTGTATATATTCTTTTAGATAATGTATGTGGAACAGGCTTCAAATGCAGCTCAACAACCTGTAGGTTTGTTAATGTTGTCATTCTGGTTATGGATAAGGGCCCTTTTCCTGTCGTCGAAGTTTGAGTTTGATAGCATTTAGGTTTTTGAATTATATCGTGAAGTTTTGAAAAAGTAGTTTATTTGTATTAAAAATATTTGTAGTCCATTTTTCTCTCTTCGTTCTCCTCCCTACCGTCCTTTTCCCTTCCCTCGTACGTCCCTTATCGTTGTCGTTTATATGTGGACTTTTGGTCTTTAAAGTTTGGGATTGGTAGCGTTTTGGTCGATGAATTTTCAAACTCCAGTCGGTCTCTTTTTTCATACTACATTACCATTGGTTGTTTGGTGTCGAATGAAGAAAATCATTCTTTTAAGCGTAGCTCGACATCTGAACTCGATCAAACATATCTGAGATTTACCTCATGTTACAATTAATTTTTTAAAAATAACAAATTTACCTATACCCCAAATTAACAACAATCTCCTATTTATAATTTAATTATTTAAAATATTGAAACCAAAGTTAGCGAGTATATAAAACAAATTAAAATTGGATAATTTACATTTCATCAACAGCGTTTGTAGTCCAACGGTTAGGATAATTGCCTTCCAAGCAATAGACCCGGGTTCGACTCCCGGCAAACGCAATGAGTACAAACATATTTAAGTTTTCACGAAATCTTTTTATTTTGAAATTTAAACTTAATTTTCTTTCTAAAATCCTTACAGGCCTTCCTTTGAACCTCCTATATATTTAGGATCTATTTATTTTTTTTAATTTGTAGAATTTTATGTTAAAAAAGATAAACGAATAAACGAACAAGAACAAGAACGAACACGGTTGGTATTAATCCTCTTCGCATCAAATGAATTACCTTTTAAGTTAAAATATAATATAAATATAACATCATAGGCATGACTGAAGCCGACACTAAAGTTTTAGCTGAATATATAAATAAAGAGAATAAAGTCACAGTCAAAGATTTCAAAACTAATTAGTTATACATAGACGTGATGTTTATTAATTATGTTGGACTTTTCATATGATATGCTCTTATTAATGATGCAACTAAACTTACTTTAGCAGTTGGAAAGCAACTATTAATACCATGCCGTCTCCCTATCACATAAAATGTGCCTTTTTTGTCTTCTAAATTCAACTCTAGAGTGCTAAATGATCCACGCTTGTGCAAGGAACAGCAAAACTTTGACACAATCGGATCGATAATGATCAAAACCTATAAACAGATTTCACAAAAGGGAAGAATTTGAAGAAATCATGCACCAAAATAACCAAATCAAACAGATGAATGAAACAACAACTCTCACTTTATACATGAGACCCACTGTCAATTAAGTATAACATCCCTAAAATTTGTGGTTCACTAAGGCTTAACATGTAAGGAGAGCTATAAAATTATAGCAAAATCATGTGTAGTATCCGCAATCCATAAATTAATCCACATTGCCAACCCACTGATGAGAAGAGAAGAGAAGAGAAGAGAAGAGAAGAAAAAGAACAGATTCTTTCATGGATGAAACTTCAGGACGCCAATGACTAAAAAAAGCCTATCAAATGCATATTTCGAAAACAACAACAAAAAAAACAGGACTACAACCACGAGTCGGGGGCGTCTCTCAAGCCATCTTTTTGTCCTTCAGAGGACCTCTTGGGATTTTAGAAAGTACCTTCTCATCAAATACTACATACTGCTTCTTGATCTCTGCAATTGCCTTCTCTGCCAAGGTGTCCACCTTATCGTCGTATTTCTCGTAGAACACAGGTACAGTGAAGAGCAAAATAACTCCTGTTACACATTGATTCGACAACGAGAAGTCACTAAAATGCAAGACTGGAGAGAACAAAACTAACTGAAATTGAAGTTCACACTGAAAACTTCCTCACCTATGTACAGCAAGGTTAGGAAATTGAACCAGGTTCCCACAATGGACAGAACCCATAAACCAGCAATTGCCTAGCAAACAGAATTATGAATACTAGATTCAGATCTAAATTTGAACCATCTTTGAATACTAGATTCAGAACTAAATTAGAAGTTAACGTACATAAAGAAAGCTCTTCAAATCCCTTCCTGATGCAATCTCTCTCAAGACAGCAATGGCCCTATTGATCTCAACTCTCAAAGCAGTGGCGATCTCTTTCACTGGCTCCTCCGGAATGTGAACTTGAGGAATGTGTGGCAGAGACCTGTACAAAAAAGGTGTCAGCATACAGTTAAGCAATGATGAGTCGAAAGGTGAACCGTATGCCAAGCTAGAACAACTTACTTGTTAATGAAGAAAGAAGCATTGGACCACAAAAACACTACTGCCAGAGCAGCCATACATATGTGGCAAATCAAGGTCAGAAAGTGATATTCAAGCAACTCAAACAAGATCCATGCGACTGTTGCTCCTCCTAGAACTCCACCGGATACCTTTTTGTTTCTCCACAGGAAGATATCAGCCGCTGTAGAGAATAGATTAAAACAGCAGAGGGAAATCAATGATTCATTAGATACACCAATGAAAATTGGTTCCGTAACATCAATATGTTCTTTACATAGACTGAATTTCAAGCTATAATGAATCCGGAAGAGGAACAATTGACACTATTTTGAAGTTATAAAAGGTGTTAATTCGCATCGCAAAATTGAAAAATCGAAATGAAATGCATGATTGTAAACCAACAATTGGAGGATGAAACATGATCAACTGAAAGCGTATGCTAAAATTGTAGATAGATCCAGATCTACAAACTCAACTAAAAGTTTCATAAAATAAAAGACGAACTATCCATGAGATGCCGATCCACTTAAGACGCCAAAAATCGCTCACGAAGCGAAGAACATCAATATAAAAATAAGAACAAAGTTCATCTGGATTCAACATCCATCCATTTCCTCAAACAGTTAATCATCTTAGAAGCAAACAAATCAAAACCATGCACTCAAATCGAAACACAAAAAAAAAAAAAAAAAAAAAAA